GTTGCTCGCTGTGCGCGCCGAGCTTTCGCAGCGATCGCCATAATTTTATAGCAAAAGTTCATGCGCTCTCTATCTCGTTCTGTCGCTCTCTGACTGTGTGTTTCTTGGCAGCACGCTTTAGGTATTTGTTTATAAACAAAATATGAAACTGTAAAAATATTGAAATATCTGCTGGAATTCATAATTTTACACTTTTGCTTTCTGCCTGTTAGTCTAGCCGAAAAAAATGAAGAATTTTTGATATTTCGCGTGTTTTTTATTAATGATCATTTGTGGCGATTAGTGGAATTTGATTAATGATCATAACTGCAATAATGGCTACTGCTGTGCTATAATTTTATATTGTCGTGATTTAAAGTTTGTTTGCACCTTGAACTGTTTTGTGCTAAATTGCCAAACCAGGTCGATGTTGGGTGTAGTTCGCGAAAGTAGTGCTTTGGTAGTGCTTTATTCATGCCTTTTAAACTACGCAGCTTTAACTAAGCGCTCATTTAAATATTTTCTGAATATGTGCAAGCAGGCACATACAAATTTATGGCGATGATCTCACAGAGATCACTCTGTAGCTTCTCTATATATATATATATATATAGATATATTCGCACATATAAATACATGCTTTATTGTTGTCGTCGTCAACTTTGCAAATTTCACAAATGAATTGTACACAATTTCATTTTATTTATTGTATTTGCAATTGATTTGTTTTTGTGCACGCCCCAATGATATGAATGGTATGAAGCAACAATTGGTGGACAATCGGCAGATACCACGAAATGGCAATAATTATTGCCCGGTCGCCATTGATGAGCTGCATACCCCGCTGCGAGCAGCAGTCTGCAAACATTTTGCATAAATTAAAAAGAAGCAAAGCAACAGCACGCCATAAATGTTTATATTTTGTTTTTTTTTTTCAGGGATTTTTTTTATAAGCGCCAATTGTTTATTTTTATACATTTTCAAAGTGATGTCACAAGCTGTTCGAGTGCCAAACAAGTTATTTGCTTTGTTGCTTTTTTTTGTGGCATATTATTAACAATAACTCTGGGGTAGGCTATTTGGCGGGGGCTGCTGCGGGGCAAGACAGACGCCTAGATCGACGGTTCTTCTGTGGCGTGCGACCTTTTCATCATGAATTTGATTGTTTTGACGTCTTCGACTCGTTCAACTTGTTGCGGGCGGCATCGATTTTGTAAACAAGAAAATATAGATAAAATGTTTCACATGTCAATTAGTTTGGCTCTCATGTTTGACATTCGGATTGTTAGTCAAGGTCTTGGGTAAACTCATAAATTACTTGGACTTTATTACAATAAATCTATGCGCTTAAATGCTTGATTTAGTAATTCTCATTATGCGAGCTGTTTGAGTTATAATAAATAATTTATAATTTAATTCAATTCTCTGTTCCGGCTAGACCAACCAGAAATTACCGCCCCTTATTCCTATCTACGTGCACAACAGACTACGCTATGCACAATCCTTTTCGCGTGCTATGTAAAAATTACAATAGTTTGCATCACGTTTTCTCTACCGAACTTTCTCTACCCCTAATAAAATCGTTGCTTTCAGGATACCTTCGGGAAGTCACTGACCATTCCCAGCTATGAGCAGGGGCATAGCTTGCCGGACAGGCTGTAAATTTTCCCCCACCGGGTCGGTGATTTCCCATTACTTTCCCAATACTATGTCTTCATCCTATCTACTTAACACTCTGTATATCTAGCATACAGTTCTTTACTTTATTAACAATCTTTTTACTTTCTTTTCTCCTATTTATGATATATTCTTAAATAATATAGCAAATTAAGATTATTTTTAATTTTACTTAAGAGAACTTTTTCCTACTTACACCCTTCTTCTTAGATGTAGGCTCTAATAGCGTCACTGACAAAATTAGCTGTGAAAAGGGGCACAGCTGGCCGGACTGGCAAATAAAACACCTCCATCGGTCGGTGATGCTATTAGAAATTTGTGTTCTCTACCTAGGCTTTTAGCATCTAAATTTCATAATTGTAAATATAATGTATTGAATAATTAGGAAGACACTCGTTTTGTCGACCACTAATAAATAAATAAATAAATAAAATAATCAACTATCAATTAGCGGGCTTTTGAAAATTCATATTATGGGGTAATTTCCCAGCAGTGTTTTATAACTTGTTTGGAAAAGCATGTTTAACACATAATTAATAATATAAATACTGTTAATTATATTTTCAAAAAATTTCTATTTAGAAACTGCAATTAGTTTTTAATTTTGCTATTCTAATGTATTAAATACTTAGCTTGATACTCGTTTTGTCGACAATTATTAAATCAATAAATAAATAAATATTAAAGACAGCCCTTATTATCTCATTGCACCTATCAGATGAATATTAAGTTCCTATTTGGATGCTCGTAATACTTTATCCAAAACCCTGTTAATATAAGACAACCCTATCGTAGAGCTCCATCAAATGGAGCATCGTTTTTTTGTGCCTATCTATCAGAATACTATCATATATAATGCAGAAGAATATATGTATATGCTACGTGTCATAGATATGAAATCTATATAGTTTACACTATATAGTTTTTATATATAGTATATAATTTTTAGTTTTAATATACTTAGTTACGCTAATGAAACCACGTTTCTCCCATTTTTCTTTAACAAATAAAAACTCTTAGTTAAAATAACAATTTTGTTTACTTGCGACAACAGAAATATATAAGAGTTTTTTAAATATTAGAATTAACTTAATTAACAATATTTGGTGATTTAGCATTAGACTTTTTTTTAACTTTTTTTTTTTAGATTTTGATTCTAACTAATTTATAACAAATTTAGTTCATAATAAAAGTGTGCCAACTGTTAACTGTAGATTGGCTACGACCATTCAATGTTCACCAAAGTTGACTTATTGCACAGGCTTTTCAGGTCCAGTCTGTTGCCCTGAACGTGCAGCGTCTCGCTTGGCCGCAGCTCCATAACTCGACATGAACACGGACACAGGAACACGCGTAAAGGGTGTCTTTTAGATAGCAGCAGATCAGCAGGAGCAGAGTAACTCCCTGTGCTGGCTGCTTAGTTGGCCGCATACCAAGTGGTGCGATTGCTGGCAGTCTCCTCGTCCGGTTTGGGCATTATCCAGATATTGCCAATGCCGCTGTCCGAGCTGAAGCGATTCGAGTCGCGATAGAGCGCGAAACTTGGCGCCTTGCGATGCAGATGATCGTTTTCACGTGAATAGCGCTCCTGCAGCTTCAGCCGCTCCTCGTTGGCGAAGTTGTTGATCATGTCACGGATGAGATCCAGCCAGAGCTGGATTTGTGCGGCATCGGCGCTGAACTCGCACTCCTGTTGCTTGCGACGTTCATAGAAGAGCGTAAAGGATTTGGTTTTGGCCGAGATGCCAATATGCTCGCATGGATAGCGACCATGGAATACCAAATGCTTGCCTTTGATCTCCGTATAAATGATGCACTTGTCAAATATAAAGACCTTGGCACGATAGCTGCGCTTCAGCTTGTGATCCAGCACCTGAAACTCGCTAACCTTACGGAACTTGCCCTGGTAGTACACATTGAACTGCAAAAGAGAGAGGAGTACACCATCAGTTGACAATTTCGCCTGCCTTAAGTCCACAACCCACCTCGTTGCAGTCCACAATGTCATTGATGATCTCCGATTCGTTGGTGGTGACCAGCAAGGTGCGCAATCGCTTCTCCAGGCGGCAGCAGGACTCAATCAGTGGCTTCATCACTATATCACGATTCTTGAAGAAGGTCTGCAGGATATAAGATTCAAGATACAAATTAGCTAATGCATATTTAGGGCACACAACAGTCCACCTACATTGATGAACTGGGTAAGGAGCAAAGGATAACGCGCCATGCGTTGTATGGGCTGCACTAAGAAGCTATTAATGCCCAGCTTATCATCGCGCTCCAGACGTATGCTCTGTAAGTAAAGAATGTTTTTTATTTTAGATCAGGCAATATATTATCAGCTTCTTATGTGAAATAGTTTGCCGCTTTACCTACCGTAAAATAATTCTTATAGAGATCGCACAGCTTTAATGATTTCTGTTTGTTCATCGTGAAGATCACATAGCCATAGAAACAGTTTTGCTGTAAAAGGGGAATTCAAACAATTATTGACCGTTTTATGAGCTATACGGGCGGTACTCACATCCAAGAACTCGAGAAATTCATCAAAAAGTCGTTTCAGATCGCGACGATTGCGCTGCAGCATGGGCAAAAACTCGTCGCGATGGAACTCGGCGATTTGCTCGATGTTCCCAAAGAGATCGTACTTTTTGCCACGCAGGCCCAGCGGCAGATCCTTGCGCTGAAATATATTGCCATAGTTCTCCAGGCCAGTGAACAGATTCTTCACATATGCCTCCTCGGTATGGATGAGCTCCTCGAGTATGGGATGCACGCACTTGTCGCTTTTATCCCGCAACTCAATTTCAATCTCATCCTCTCTGGAAAAATGTAATTAATTGGTATTAGTTGTCACTTAAGTGATTTAATGGGATGCACTTACTCCTCTTTGGGTTGATAGACTGAATGAAATTTACCAACCAGTTGATGGTTTGTTGTGCCAATGATTTCAGTCTTCCTTCTCGGAGTAGAACGATAATTTCTGTGTAATAAGATAAGAGCAAACGAGGCAAACGGTCAAACACGGCAATCTTTTTATAGAGTTTATCACTTGACTAAAGCTGGCCCCCAGAGCACTACGCAAACAACAAGTACAACAATAACAACCAAGCAGAAGATAAGAAATTACGCTGGATGAATCACGGGTCGTCTGAATGCCAGCTGATAAGCGTCGCCCACGCCAAGGCACGAGCTGATCTGCACTCTGAGATTTGGTCTATAAACATGGTTCTTCGCAACAACAAAACCAACTACTACAAAAAGATAGAAAAAAAAAATAGAGAGAGATAAGCGAATTCTCTCACCCTCTTGAGATGCTTGATGGGATCTTGATGGCCTTGAAATATATTTATGCTGCCAACCGCCTGATGCAATACCACCGACACCGTTTTCAAGCAGTGCATGAAAAAGTCGATCTGAGAGATTAGGAACCAGGAGATCATGATCAGCAATAACATTGAGACGCCGGTGACTAGAAAGCCAGTCAGCTGGAAGACGTAAGACACACAGACTGCAAAGCTAGCAAGTAATATCGATGCGACAATGACGGAGCTGAGTACCTACCCCTTCGATGACGCCCTCCCGCGTCTGGATGCCAAATGAGTCTGTTGAATTGTCCTCAGTGTTATCCGCGGATAGTCTATTATCCATGTGGCTGCTACCCCCATCGCTCTCGGAGCTGAGTTTCTTTTGTCCAAACAATTTGATTCGACTGGTGTCGTCCAGATCCAACGAGTTCTCGATTTTTGGCTCCGGAGGCTCCTTTCGCAGCACTCTTTCGTGGTGGCTTGGTGTCTCCTGCTTTGGGACATTCAACGTAGTTTCCGAGCTGGTTGCTGGCCCCAGAACCTCTATTCGCAACGTTTTTTCCTTTTTCATTGATGAGCGCGGCTTTGGGTCCGTATTGTTGCCTCTGGTTACCATTAATGGCCGGGAAGGATCGGTCACCTGGATGACTTCTACAGTGATATCCTCGTCGCTTTGCTGTTGATCCTCGTCGGGCTGCTCCGCCTTTGACCCCCTCCTCGGTTTGCTGCCGCTTGGCCCATCGTTGGGTTCTGAACCCTCCATATTTTAGCTGCAGCTGATTTTGAAAACCTGGGCTCGACAGATACATTTTACAAATTTTGCTACATTTTCTAATCAAGTTTACGTAGTTTCTGGATAAATCTTGACAGTTGACTCCAAGTCGCAACCGGTTCCAAATCCGATCCCAAACGCAATTTACACTCCAAGCGCTGCCTGGTCAAGTAACATATTTGAGAGCAAACACCTGCCAATTAAGTTCAGATTCAGCATGGCGATAAATACCAACGAATTTTATGGCCAAGTCGCTTAATTAGACGACGACTTTGCAAATTACGAAAATGGAAGCGCAACTTTGACCGCCCGGTGACACAGCAAACACTGTGCGAAGGTCGTTTATGCGTAAGCGAACGGTGTTGGAAAATCTTTCAAAAGGAAGCCAATAAGAAAATTGAATAACAACAACGTGAAAGTCAAGAATACAGCCAAAGATTGCTGGGAAATATTCTGAAAATTCAAAATCCAACCTACTTTCATAAAAAATTCAGTAAAAAACTAATGAGAAAATTAAAACAAGGGAAAGATCACAAACAAATTGCAACAAATTCAAGACTCCAATAGTTTTATAACATTGTCAGCAAATTGTACCTGGCAGATCCATTTACAAAATTGAATCAAATGGATCAAATGTAAGACTGATTGCAATCTACAAGCTGTAAGGTTCCCAAGTTCAATAAGTCCCGTCATCGCCCGGCATTTCACTCACCTTGGAAAATCCTTGTCATTGCGCAGCTTAAGTTGTGGCGAGAGAGGGCCTGTTGGATCCACGCTGATCGAACGTTGCACGGCCTGTGTCTTGACATCCTCCAGATCTGAGCAGCCGCTGGGCAACACTGCGGAGCTGCTCTCGCTGAGCACGTAGTCGACAGGGGCTTGGGGATCCGTTTCAAAGTCGGATATCTGATCGACTTCGTCTTCGGAGCGCACCTCGTCAATGCTGACGGGCGTGCTGGAAATGGAATTGCTGCAGGAGCTGAGTCCAGGCAGGGCAATGCGACGCGGCGGGGGTGGAGTTCGGATCTGCGCATGTTCATCGTGCTGCGAAAAGCTGGGATGGCGACGATTCTCGAGCAGCTTCAGGCTGAGGCGCTCCTGTCGCATATAGCTAATGGTCGTCTTTAGCGTCTCGAAGCGCTGCACCTTCTGCCGGACATCAAGCAGTGCCGGATCCGGTGTGGTGGGTGTCTCTGGATATGTGGGCGTGGCTGTGGCCATGGGCTCCGCCGTGTCATCGCTGGCGGCGCGCATTTTGAGCACGGAGCGTCGATTGAACGCGCTCTCCGTATCCGAGTTGACCGAGTAGGAGAGCTGAAAGGAACTGGAACTGCTGCTCGCGTTGCTGTCGCGTCGTCCGCCGCACTCCGCGTCCACGGCACTACTGTGACGCTCCAGCTCCGATGGCTTGCCGCTGCGGCGACGCGAGTTGCGCTTGTTGAAGTTCCGATTGCTCAAGTTGCGCTCCCGCCGAAACGGCAGCGGGCTAAGATCTTCGTCGGCCATGGGGCTTAGTGTGTGTGTGTGTGTGTGTGCGTGCGTATAGGCGTGGACACCTGGGCGCCTGATAACGCTTATCGGCGCTACAAACTTAAATTCGATGCGCTCTCTGCGCTCTCTCGGGCTGCCGATAAAGCGTATATACTCTCTCTTGCGCTCTCTTCTTCGTTTTCTCAGTTCGTTTTGTTTGTTTCTCTCAATTTGTTAACTTTGTTGCATTTCTTATCGCAATTTCTCACGCCTTGCGTTTTTTTTTGTTTTTTGCGCTTTCGGAATGCGTTTCAATTCCACACGTTCCAGCTAGAGCTTAGCATGTATTTTCATTAATTTTTTGCTGTTTATTTTTTTATACACAAAACTTGCTGCATATAAAATTCTTTATCTTCGGGTTCGTTGGTATTTTCGAAACACGTATTCGTATCTCGTGCGTTGGCTGTCAACAGCTGCAAAAAATAAAACGAAAAAGAATTTAAGCAACATTTTGATTAAAGCGTTTTATCGCATATAATTTTAAGCAAATACATGTGTGAAAAACACACACACACACAGACATGATAATTATATACTAAAAGCTATTCAGCAAAAACAATAAACAAAACTGAAAAGAATTTGCAATTAGCGAAAACCACACAATAAAGCTATCATCTGAATTGTAGTTTGCCAAATAAAGGAACAATATAATTGATAATTAGTGCGAATTATCTATTAATATAAAATATTTATCGATTTTCAGAACAACGACAGCCGATATTAATCGATACATGTTCTTTTTACTAATATCGATAGCCAAGGAAGCTAAGTTAAGTGAAAAAACTAAGTAAACAATATACCAATAATAACCTATATTAATCGATATCGATTGTATTGACTCAAATCGATAAATAATAAATTTAACGATTTTTTGGCATATCGATAACAAACAAAATGGATTATCGATAAGCAAATCGAACAAAATAAATAAGTAGCTAGTAAATCATTGAGAACTGAAAATCTCGAGCAAAGCTCGTGGACTTTGGTTTCTACTAGTAGTTAGCATTTAGCTCATGCGTATCACAACAAAATGATGTATATATACACAAGTGACTTGTAATTCCAGCTAAAGATAAAGTCATGTAGTATGTAGCACTCTCTTGCTACTAAAGTGTTTTTAACTGCTCAACTCGGATGAGTTGCCCGATAATCGCACAAATATTTGCAGAAAATGTGTCTAATAAGCTCTAGCAAAATATATATAAGTTTTATTTATACGGCGAATGACGTCAAGCGATCAGGGGATCAAAGAGTGAGCGTCGTCAGATCTATATGCACATTTAAACACACGATCTAATGTAGTTAATTATGTGTGACGCTTAGACTGGGCTAAAAAAAAATAAAAATCAACTATTTTAGTTCAAATGTTGAGCTACAACTTGGAATATGGAATATGATGTTTAAATTTCTAATACGTGGAGGGCTAAAAGAATAATAAGAAGAATAATATGAAACATTGTTGAATCCATTCATTTCCAGTGAAATTTAAGTAAATTGGGCCAATTCAATCAACATGGCATAGTAAGCATTGAACAGATTTTCATAATACATTCTTTTTTTTTTAGTAAATAGTAGTCCAAGAATTTATAGCTTGGGCGAAAACATTCACTCATTCGATAAACTTAGAGGTTGAACAGCTTTGACAAAAACTTGTAAAGAATTTATTGTGTTTTTTTTAATATACTGAATATAGCAAAAAATTTGCAGTTTTAAATTTGTATTTTTTAAAATTGGAGTAATGAAACGCTTGAACATATATGGCGCATTTCTGGCGCTTGCCGGTCCCGGCACCAAGGAGGACATCATCATCCAAGTGGCCAAGCAACAGAACATACGCTTTAATGATCTGCCCCAGCTGCAGAAGGAGGTGGATCGGGCACTGGAGGAAAGTCTACGTCTGGGCTTTGTGGATCGCCAGGGGCCTATGTACAAGCTAAGCACGGATACGTTAACACCAAGCAATCCGAACAATTTGCCCAACATCAAATTGGCTGCCGGCAAACCCAGCAACGAGACGCCAACACGCTCGCCCATAGAGACCAAGGCCCAGGGACAGGGAGATGGCATGCGTAGTCGCTCGTTGGTCGAAACTGGCAGCCGAGTCAAGTCACGGACTTCCTCGTGCTCCGCGTGCAGCGCCTTGGAAAACGCCGGCAGCCCGGATCGGCGCAAGAACACCCACTTTCTGGACAGGCATCTGCTGCGCAAGGACAAAAGCATTTGCTCCATTTGCGGCCTGAACAGCGATAAGCGCAACAACATTGAGGGACAGGACGCCGAAAAAGCCAGCTGGCCGGATCTAAATCCCTTGCTGTAACATCGATCACAGAAAAACGTAGGTTGACAAGAAAAGAGTAAACTAAGATTAGGTGAAACGAAATGAGATTAGGTGAAGCTTCACAATAGGATCAGCTATATGGGAAACCGTCTTAGGGAAAGATAAATAGCATGCAATATCGAAGAATTAGAATTTTGATAAGATTTAAACTCATATATTTCGTTATTGAAAATCTGTCGATATTCAACAGCTATGACTAGAATGCTCTGAGCATAAATAAGCCTTTATCTCATAACAGTTAAACATATAGATAAGAATATAGTATGTTGAAGGTCTGGCTTAAAGCCCCAGTCTATAGCAATAGTTGCAGTCAAGTTAATTAAAAATTAGCTAAGCCAATATTATATAGTAACAGATTTCGATAAAAGCTCTTTACTGTATACACATTTTTCATTGCAGATCTTGCGTTTCCGGTCGTAGTTCAACAAATTATCAAGTCTTCGTCCTGCATGCGGCTGCCCAATTATATTAACCATAACTGACCCATAAACTTCTTTTCGCTACAGTTTATTACAGAGTTGAGCAATTATTTTGATTCATGCGAATAAACAGCTACGAACATAACTTACATTGGCTTTGATTACCCAGCGGGGGCGGGGGCGGAGGCGGAGGCGGTTGTTAGCCGTTGGTTTGTTGACCCAGTTAGATAATTGGCGCAGCAGACAGTCGGGCCTGGGCCTGCACCTGATGTTAGCCCAAAAAAGGTCGCCTCACCTGTCGCACATATTGCGCCAAGGTTTGTACGTAGAGGGCCCTGAATTGTTATCTATCAATGCTATCGATAAGCAACTATCTTAAATACTTGACGCCATATTTGATATCATTTTCCATGAATTTGCAATTGCTTTTGGGCTCGCGTGCAATCGGTGCCCGGGCATATTGCTAATGGGAATTTCGGTAAGGTAAGCCCTGTGAATGTTTTCGGTAAAAATGTCTACCCCATTTGGTATTGTATAAAGGCGTAAGTCATCAGCTTTATATATCGCAACTGAATGGGGATTCTCTTTGCTGTGATATATGGGTTTTCCCATACAACAAAAGCAAACAAAACAATTGTTTTATTTAACTATTAGTTAAAATTTAAAGCTCGCGTCGTTGCCATTTTTCACTGCAATGTTGCCACTTTTCACTGTAATTTTATCTAGCTTTTTTTGTTTTGGTATTAAAATTTACTATCGCTTAAGTCGCACGTTAATAAATACAACCAAGGACTAGAAATCTGCGTATCAACCTTTTAGATTGTGATGTATTGTAATTTATTAATTTTCAATGGCAAGCGCGATAAGCCACTTTAGATTGGGTTTATTAAAGGCTTTGCGTTTTATTTTCAAGTGATTAATAATATTTAAGTTGAACATTTTTTAATTAAAAGTAAAAGGTATTTATAGGATGGATTAAAAAAAGGTAGCAAGTGCCGTATACCATTTAAATAAAGTGCTTTAATTTTATTTAACTATTAATTGTTAACACTTAATATGGGCGGCGTTGCCATTTTTCATTGCAATATTGCCACTTTTCACTGTTAGTTTATCCATCAATTTATCAGATTATT